TTGTAATCATCTCATCAATTTGTTCTTTCCTTGTTTAGATCACTACCTTTGGCAGTTAGCTAGATTATGAAGTTAGCTGCATACCAAGGCAAAAAAAAAAAAATTACAGTAACTCTAAACACACCCATAAGCAACTTGACTTGCATGAGTAGTTGTTCCCATGCTTAAGTGCTTTCAAGATAACATTTTTGGTGAACATAAGATTAAATAATGATAGTGTAATGAATAAGCGTTAGCAAAATAAATACTTCTAAAAGATGTGGAAAATGAGAAATGGTAAGTTCTATCATTAAAATATTCTAGTAAAAGACTGAAAAAAAAAAAAAATCATCCTTTAGTCTAACTGGCGTACTGCAGGAGTCCTGAATTTCCACACTGCAACGACTCCCCCTATAAATCTTATTCATTTAAACCGAATTTACACACACCATTTGTCTATGCCTTAAAAATAGAGAAAAAGGGGAAAAAAATTTTTTTTTTTCAGCTACATTTGCACACAAACATTCATTTACAGGAAATTTCAGGTGTTCTCAAACATCTATTTGTACCTCCCATTTTCAGAGAGGAGTAACTTCAAGTTATGTAGGGACAAATTCTGCAAACACACATATGATTAGCTTCGTTCATTTGAATAAGCCCACTGAAGTGAGGAGGATTTACTCAAGTGAGTGACTGCAGAATCAGGCCCTTATGTAGGGAGATAAACAGATATTCAGACACTGAAAAAAACCCCTACTAATTAACTCCCTAATCAGAGTGGGTTTTCTAGGGGTTCTTGTGACCAGCTATGTAAGTACATGTCTAAAATACATATTCTTCACATAAAAATCCTTATGAAAAGCAGTCGCTTGAGAAGCTTAATAGCTACATTTTAAAGTTTCACCTCCTCAACTGTTTTACATTAAAAAATATATACAATTTCATGGACTACTGACTTGCCAAATATTCTTTTACAAACCCGATCCGCTTTTTTAATTAGAATAGCAAAAAGGTTCTTAAACTAGCAATCATGTTTTGCTCCCAATTCAGAAAACAAATTTTTGTCTTGAATCATACATAATGTATGCGCTCTAACTTCTTTCCCCAAGCTCCAACACTTCCGCGAACGGAGGGTTATCTTAAATTGTATCCCACATTACTTTGATTTATGTTATAACACACCATCTACAAAGAACATCAAGACACTCAACAAGCACAAGTGAGTACGCCAACGTATGGAGGATACTTCAACACAAGAGCTTCTTTTTCAGTCCTCTCTTCAAAGGAGAGGGTACATTTTAAAATATGGATAAAATATGCAAAGTGTGTTCTGCTAGCCAGCTACAGCTCTCTCAGTCAGTAAACACTTTTCCATAGGAGATGAGAAAGTGAAAAATCAGTATATTGCTACATATGCAAAACCTTTGCAGGTCCATAAAAGTGTCAGGAGAATTTGCTTAAAACAGCTTATAAAAATGGGAGAGAGAATGAGTCCCAGCCTATTATTCAATAACCATGTTTGTGAGGCATCTGCATAATCTAACCATGCATAAATTAGTATGTGTATTACAACAGTTATTTGCATAATAATAGCAAGTTAATAGATGCTTAAAGAGCACAGACCAACACCACCTTTAAATCAGACATGCCTCCAGGCACTCTGATCTGTACAGACCAAGATGCAGAAAACAGCGTTCATAAAACATACAAAAACATAAAAACCACATTCAAATAATTCATTTCAGTCCCTGGACACTTCACTTTTTCTCCTCTCCCAGGAAAGATTAATTTGAGCAACTACAGAATAGTTTGTTACTATGAATTCTAACGTTCATCTTGCAATAAGAATTTGAAGTAATCATCAAACCTATTTCTGGATTGGTTGTTTTGTTCAGAGTTTCATGGTTTTTCAAGCATCCAGACAAAGTAAAATACTACGTGGTAATGCAGGGCTCAGCACTGGCCTAACCGTTGCCACTGAGGATGGAAACAGTTTTACCACCAATGTCAATGAAACCGAGTTAGGTCACTGAAAAGTTAGAAAATGTCAGTATCTAAATAGAATACTAGTATTAGGTCCTCTTAAAAGGGAGAATCCAGAGCTCCCTTAAGTATTCCGTTCACATTACATTTTTGATTTGAGAAGATTTTAGACCATTGTACCATTAATCAAAGTTGGAATTAAAAATTAAAATATAAAAAAGGAGTAGATACTCCTTCCTGCTTCAAAAGCACTGTTGTACATACGGGATTATTTTTTAATCTCACAACAAAACCATCATTAACATCATCATAATTTTCATTGTCTCCCAGGAAAGAAAATCTTGAGTTTGGAGAAGAGAAAAAGAGAGAAAAAAAAAAAATCAATAGAGACTTCTAAATGACTCCTTCAAGATACCACTTTTCAATTTAACAGGACAGATTTATTTGTATGTGGCTCAAATGTTCACAATTGCTCTCTGCACCTTCATACATAGGAATGAATGTCACAGTGGCAAACAGCAGTAATGAACAATCTTACCTGAGGATATGGAAACCTCCCAAGAGCAAGCTGGGAAAGGAAATAATATTTGTCTAGTTATATAGATTTGCATGGAGGGCACATTTTCTTAAAGAGAGAAAAGTACTCAACTCTTACTATTGTATAAATTGGAAAATGTCAGCAAAAGTAATTCTGAAAACACACAAAGAGCTGTATTTAGAATGGAGTCATTCACAACAATTATCTCTTGTTCCTCGTTTCTGAATATTTCAGTGTTTCTCGAGCTCTTTTGTCTGTACCACTCAGTAACACTGTTTGATGCCCAAGTTCCCGAGGACTCTCTAAATTAAACCAGTTCAGCCTCAATAGCGAGGCCAACGACACTGACCTTTACTGATAATTATCTGCAATGAACAGGTATTGCAGAGCATGCACTGAACTCCCAAAGTCCTTCCTTAACTGGCTCAGAGTAAAATCTGGGTTATACAGCTGAGGTTTGCCTCCTTATCGGTGTCAAACCCAGCTAGGAACCTCCGAGTGGGATCTGGAGAGAGACCATGGCACCCGCGGAAAGACACTTCGTCTTTTCTTCAGATTTACTTTCAGTTGCACACGGTATTAACTGGATTGGTTGCTCACAGTGTTTTGTAAGTCAACTGATGAGTTACTAGAGTATCTGCTACGATCAGTATTAGACCCAACGACAATACTACTGTTGCCATAATGCCAGAGCTGATAAATATTCCATGATAAACTCTTCATGCAAGACTTCAGGTTCTCCCACTTGGTATCTGAACTTTGGAAATTATTTCAGCGAAACACAACTATTTTAAGTAATTTTGTCTACTATTCAGTGAAGGACAAAGGCTCCCAGAGCTGACACAGACTCGACCAAAAGGGCGTTCAGAGCAGCTCTGTTCTGACTTGCTTTCTGGACAAGCCCACCTCCCTCCACAGTTTACAGAGAAGCCACGGTCAGAGGAGCTTCTCTACACTTGGGTTAACCTCTATGAATCCTCCTCTTACCAACCTTCAAAAGGAGGACTACCAAAAGGGTTAGGGATGCTCGACTATCATTGATTTGTCTGCACGATAAACTAGGTATATTCACATCAGGCTGAGTGACAGCATCAATGCTGAAGGTCTAAGCCATCGTGTCAGGTACTGCGAGGGCTGAACCACACATCAGTGCTGGGCGAAAGCTGTTTCACCTGTATTGTCACTGATATTTGAGCTTCGCAGCGAGCAAGGTTACTTGACCTAGCCAGATTGCAGCTGAGGCAGCTGTGCTGACCTATGATGAAATTTCAGCCTGGCTGGCAGCACAAAACTATCCTAAGTATGGACAATAAGGCACAGACAGAGCTGTAGCAAGGTGGGGAACCGATGGGGCAAAGGCCAGTAGACAAGCCTCATCGGTTCAGGAAAAAGGTCATGAGAAGGCAGTAAGAAGCTGCTGACAGCATGAGTGGAAGCAACCAGAAAACAGGTGAGACGGTGCCCTCTCTGCAATTCCAGGTGCTGTCCGAACCTAGCATCGTACCAGCCATTTGCTGTGAGCCCTGGCAAACACAGTAAACTTCTTCCAGATCCTCAGGGGAAAGGCGTTGCAAATGCAGAGTAGGTCTTGAAGCATTTGTGTAAGAGAGGCATACAAGAGAAACCCGAAGAGATGAAACAGGTTTTTTGGTGACTCTCTTAGAAGAAGCTTTTGCAGTATTGCGACAGTATTTGTCCTGAGAATCGACAGGCCTATCAAGTGGGTTCTAAAGGGGCTACTCGGTTTCTACACCCCTGAACACTTACTGCACGGACAAACCACAGTTATAGGAACTGTGTATCTGAATTTCCATGCATCACTGAAAAATCACCCCCATCTTTCCTAAATATCTCCTCAGTGGGCGTCTGCATAATGACCAAGCAGGAGCCATTATGGTCTGCTGTATCAGTATGGTGTTGACCAAGGATCCCTACTAGCAATAACATCTGCAGTTTTTCTGAGATGCTTCTATCGTGACACCGATCCCTCCAAAAGTGGTGATCTGCTTCCAGACTTCCATTTGGGGATCGCTATGTTTGCTTGGTTTGTAAGACCAACACCTCCAGAAGGTGGGAGGAATGTGGCTTGCAAGAGACACTGGAATAGGGAACAACATCAAGGGGACAAGACGATTAAGATTTACTCAGGTTCTCTAAAGCGATACAACTGAAGCTGGCTTCCTTTCTCTGGGTTTCTTCCGTGCTTCGTCTTCCAGGTTTGCCTTTAAGGCTCAACTCTTTGGGGTGAATTCTGCTTTTCAGTTTTGTTTCTGGTGCAGTGCGGAACGTGGTGCTTCTCTTTGCAGCAAATTCACCCTCGTAACAAACCAACCTGAGCTAAGCAGGCTTGATTGCCACCCTTTCCATCACTTGTGCCCGGTTCACAGCTTCTACCAGCTCAGTCTTAAGGACCAGGAGCTACTAAAACATCCCCCTTTTTCAACTTCTCCTCTTTTGGGAAGACCATCCTTAACTTCCAAGAAGCTGCTCGAGATCCTAAGAAGCACTGCTGCTGAGACAGCCTGTAAATGCCTAGAAATAACCTATAAATGCCAAACACCTTTCCATGAACAGAAGTAGAAGAAATACTGATTTTTCCAATGACTACTGACTTAAGAACAGTCATTAGAACAGCTACAGACTTGTAGGAATGTAATAGTTATCCCGCTGTAGAACAAGATGATTACAGCTATATGCACAGGGCATCATTCTGCAGATCTTATTTAAGCAGAAAAAGGGCTGCTGCCTTGATGATGACTTCCAACTATAGCATTTCCACTCCCACTGATGATTCCTCTTCCCTGACCACCACACGCATCAACAGGGGCTCCGGAGGCAGCAGAATAATTGGGGAAGAAGCAGTTTTCTGCCAGACGTAAGCACAGGGTGTAGAAATGAGCTTTGAGGAACCCAAAATGCATCAGGAACGAGTTCTTTGGGAGGTTGTTAAAAAAGAAACACGTTTCTCAGTGAAGCTGCTCCTTGACTGAGAACTGCAAAGCAGTACAGCCACGGACAGATCGTGTGCCAGTTCTGCATCCCCTGAACCATCACTCGATTCATCTCGTCAGAGTTGTTTCCCCCCTGCAAGACTGTCAAGGTATTATAAATTAAGAAACTTACCAAAGAGTATGTAATCTTCCCTGAAATAGCCTGCAGATATGTCACTGTACTAAATGTGTTTCAGATTTAATGAAGCTTTAATGTCCTTTTTAATTTTGCCTGTTTCTATATCACCAGGGGTCGAGCAAGGCAATCAGCACTCAAGAGGGTGGTTTGGTTTAAAACTAGGAAAAACTCATTTGCTTATGAGTTGCACTGTATTTTCTTAATTAAATTTACTAAGTAAAATGGTTTAAGTTCAGCCAACCAATGACCTCTGTATGTAGATTTAGATTTATAAATAGCGTCACAGTTAAAGTAAAGGAAAAAAAATCCCAAAAAACAAACAGATTAGAGCTTCACTAAAGGGATTTTTATACTCTCTATCATCTGTCTCACGGAAGTCATATAAACACATGCAGCACAAGCCCAGTGCAGGATACAAAAAATGTAAACTACCAAACTAACACACTATCAAAAACTTAACTCCTCTGCATTTACACGATCAAACTTTGGCACTTGAAAATTTTGTTTTTAAGGCATTGTAACAAAAATACAATATTTCCATTCACACTAGTTATAGGTTCAGGAACTCATCAGTATTTTATGTAGCTCTGGATATTAAGGAGGGGAGGAAGGAATGCTTAAACTTAAGAAGCTGGTTTTCATTTCCCTACGGATACCTTCCCACCACACAAGAACTGCAAAAAACAACCTTTAAAAAGGCCCAGTGAATTGCAATGCCAGCATGGTATGGAAATATAAATGAGAATCAGACCGTATCATCAATGAATATGTCAGAATAACACTTTCCTACATCATTTAACTTTAGAGCAATGTCTGTGTAGGGGTTTTTTTGGGGGGGGTGGGGTGGGGTGGTGGATGTGGGTTTTTTTAAAACTGTTACTTCTTTAGACATAGAAGGAGCCCATCAGAGCACTTAAAATGCTCATCTTACGGTGTTCAGAGAGGTTGTGTCCTGAAAAATGCTGTGCACTTCCAAGTACCTGATAGAAGCCTTCCCCCAGACTCGGACAGAGGTGCAGACGGACGTACGGGTTGCACCAGCAGATTTTAAACCAGCACTTGATAAACTGAGAAATAATCTCAGATTATTAAATAACAGGCAGAGGTACAGTGTGCGTGTACGCTGACTTTCATGAAACTCTATCTAAAAGACACATAATGGAAAGCAAAAAGAACCCGAGGCAGGGAGTTTCTGTAGAGGCAGGTGCCTAAACCCTCTGTAGTGAGCAGCCATAGGAAGGGCTAACCCGTTCTCAAGTACATATATCCAATGTGCAGCTAAGTGCACACAAAATTAAAGTGACTTGTTGAAATAACGTAGCTAACAATTTTGGAACTGAAAACGGAAATCCAGAAATCCTCGCTATCACACCGCTTTCCCTGTATTGCTCTTTACTTGCCTGCCTGCATATTGTTAATAACAACTACAACAGCAACTTGGTCCGTAACCTGTTCAGAAAGTGACTGAGGGAAGGAAGTTCAAAACATATTTTTAGGACACTCGGGCAATAAAGTCTCCCACTTAGATTATTGTCTATGTTGTGCAAGTTGTTTTTTAATTTACAGTTATACAGAAAAGCATGGGATGTTTTTATTCTTAATTTAGACACATTCCATGTTTCTCAGCATAACTGCAAATTGAAAATAAGCACTTACAATATCACTAGTGATCTAGCTGAAGGAGGACTTTATCGTCTGAAATGTTCTAAAATTTGTTCTTAATTACCTTGTGCACATTTTACACAATTAAATTTCCATCTAAGGATTTTGCATTTAGATTGTGCACTGCAGTTAAACCCTCATTTTATGGAAAAGCAGCCGCCACTTCGGAACATTCAGACACAGGAAACTTTAAAAATCAGACTTAACTACTGGATAACATAAAAATCCCTAGGTGAAAT